CAAGAAAAAGCAAGCGAAAAGGGCGCTGGCAACTATGTTCTTGACTAAGTCTCTGCGGCATTGTCGCGGCAAGCAGGAGCCAACCACCAGTAGCCGTCCGGGCAGACGCCAATGTACGCGCCGTCTGGCTGTAACTCCACTCCTCCCAACCGACGCGCCCTACCGGGAAGGGGGGGTGGTGGTGAAATCATCAGTTTTGGGGGCTCCTGTCTGTCCGGCATCCGAATGAAACATCTAGAGCCGCGCTGATAGGCGGTGAAAGTGGCTGGGCGTGGACCCATGATTTGGGACCGTCGGGCCCTCAGCCAGTGGCTGGGCACGTTCTGTCAGCGTGGACCCATGATTTGGGACCGTCGGGTCCTCCACTATCCCCGGAGTACTGGGCGTAAAATCCCATTCTGGATGAGCTGGTGAAGTCTGTAGAATTGCATGGCTTCAATTCCGAGATGGGGATGTCGGAGATGGAGTCAAAGTACTGCTTGGCGTTGTGGTACGTCCTGTTGTAGCCTAAGCTGGAACCGGGGCACTTGCAAAGAATCTTTAAATCGGCAAGACCCGCTGCAAACCCCCAATTTCTCCAACCTCCCAACCTGTTTTCTGAAACACCAAATCCCGCAGGATAAACACACCGCTAAGGCCATGTGCCGTAAAACAGCCATGCTTTCAAGTAGGGTCTTCGCTTGGTCTATTTGTCCTCTAACGGCGCGCATGGTCATTCAAGAACCTCCTACAACACCCAAGAAGTAATTGAACAATTGAGCTCATTTAAGTTCCCCTGTGCTGCTCGGATGCACCGGTGTAAAGACTTAAGCCACTTACACGTGCTGTTATAATGATTTGTAAGCTTCCTGCAATTGGTTGTAACTTGGTTGGAAGCATTAGGCTGTGTAGCATCTACTAGACCTTAGCAAACTCCAGCACCATGTGCTAGTAAAGTTACATCTTTAATCATGTAATAGCTCAGCTTCGCTAAGTGGTTAGCTACATGGGGAGCTATCTATGCTACCACTTAGCTACAGGCTAGCTAAGTAACTTGTTACGCAAGCGCTGCTAACTTGCTATGTAAGTGCTGGCTCTAGTGAGAAAATGGTTTACTCTCCGTGTTTTTACTTTGCTTTTTGTCTGATGTCCAATGGTTGTTTCGCAGTGCAAGGGCCGCCGCTCCTTGCAGCTTCCACTTTTGACAAGAACAAGATCGTCGAGGCCACAGACCAGGCTGAAGCAAGCCTACTATGAGATGTCCAAGAAGAACTTTGCCATCAAGGAGACCAGTGTTGGCTTTGTCTTCAACAGCCACGCGTTGCTTTTTGAACAGTCATTGGCAAATGACATGCTGCCAGCCCGACAGATTGTGCATGATTGGATGCACACATACTTGGTGAAGGGCTGCTTCCACCCACTTCTCCTTACCTTTATCCAGAACTGGAATGTCCCCAACAAGGAAAAATTCAGAAGCGCAAACAAGCCAATTCCAAGGCTACAACATTCAAATGCACTGTCAGTGAAGGCCTTTCCTTGTATCCAATCCTTGCACACTGGTCGCATGATCTTGCCCCAGCAGCTACGCAAGCCCTTCTTGCAGACCTTCTGCATCTGACAACTCATGTCCCACTACGCTTGGATAGGCCAAACCACATGGAGGCAGCACAGGACAGATTCATCCAAGCTTGCTTGGCTGCCCAGTTTGTAAGCCAGCTGGCCAAGCAGCCATGGTGAAGACATCACAAACTCTGTGTGCCACCAGTTGGTGCCATTTCGGCCCATGGGTACAAAGTTCTTACCCTTTGAAGGAAAATGCATAGAAAAAGTTTGCTTGGTTGCTTGTCAGTGTGGCAGCAAGCCCCAGGGCTAATCATTCAAGCTTGGTGTTTGCTTGGGCTTTTGTGCATGCAAACCCCATGTAAAATGCTAAGCCTTCAGCCTACTGTTGGCTGGACCATGGCTTTGCCAAGTTGAACCTCCGGCTCTCATTGCAAACAGTTAACTTGCCTGGTGAAGCCTTGTTGGATGAGCAAGGCACGGGTAGCCACTTGGCTTACACTTACAACCAAGTTGGCGCTGACACATTCAATGGGATTGATGTGATGGTAGCCCATCCGGCTTATGTTCCATGAAGGTTTCATGTCCTGTAGCCATCCGGCTTATGATCAATCAACAATGCCACCAAAGCCAAATACAACCATGTGAGCGTGCTTTGGCTGGCCATGCACGAGCTTTTGTATCATGAGCTCTTGTGGCTTGTCCCTGTTAATAAATGCAGATGCCCAGCGTTGATTTGCATCATGATGAGCAGCAAAGCCAGAACCAACCAACTTCCTCGAAATGCTCTGGTGAGTCTAAACAAATTGCTGCCAACAAGGCAGAATAAAACCACAAATTTGACACTCACTCCATATGTAATAAACCTAGCATTCTTTTCTTGCTAACAACTTGGCTAACCACTTAGCTAATCTTTGGCTAACCCCTGGCTAACCACTTAGCTACCCTCCTAACTTAAGCCCTCGGCTAACTAGTTAGCATTTGTTAATATATCTTCTATCTTTGCCCCTATGTCCTACTAACTCTAACAAACCCCCGGTGCGTCCCAGTGGAGAGGGGGAGCCCCTGAACGGTGAGTTTGTTCATGTGAACCACCGCCCTTCCAAGCTTTCGCAAAACCAGGTAGACATGCAATGCCGCTTCCCTTTCTGTGAGGTCACGTCACGTAACAAAATGTGTTGGCGTTGCTGGGCATGGAAACTTTCCTATGGGCTTCGTACTTCCCAAAGGCAACGCCTGAGGTGCGCCGTAGAAGGCTAGAGTGTCGCAAAATCCAGAAACCACGGACTGCACGCGCCCAGACCGCCCAAGAAGCGTCAGTCCCACGGACTTTCTTGCTTTCCCATTTCGCTATCGAGAACTGCCAGAAACAGAGGCTTGCCTAACATGTGGACTCGGCCCCAAAGGACAAGAACAGGCCCGTAACGCTACATGTCGGCCTACCAGCACCAATGTCTTGCACACCATGCGGAACTGTTGGCCACTAGAATATGCTGAAAGAACGTATTAAACTACTGCCTTTGGAGCTCGCCCTTGACCCGGCGAAGCGCCAGAACTGTGTGGTGGACCCCGGCACCTGAAGCAAACTTGACAGGCTTATGGGGAATCTTCAATCCGCAGTCTACGATTCAGAGAAACAGCTTCTTTAAAGTATTTGGAGCAACTTTAACGTTGCTGTTTTGAGGGCCGGCCAGGAGTGAGGAATCTCTGCTTTCTTTTGATTGTATGTTGTTTTGTCTTTTTTCCGAGGGGACCCTTCAATCTTCCACCCGGAAGTGCCCAGCATCCAAGTAGAAAACCAATACGTGCACAACACGCGCAAGAGAACTTCTTGGGAGAGGAGTCATGGCGTCGGAAAAGGCGTACAAAGCAGCCTCAAAGACGACATCAAGGCCAGCCGAACAAAAGATAGACATTGACAAACAAGTCCAAACACCAAAAACAAACCTGAACACAACTGCTTCTCAAACAAAAAAACAAGAAACACCAATAAGAAACACAACTTCCCCAAAGCCAACAAAACTAGAGAAAAGCCAATGCTACACCAACAAACATAGAAAAAGGATTTAAGGACATGTTTGGGTTGCCCCCACCTTTCCCCTGGCAGTGGTTCTGTTTGCTTTGTCGTTCTTTGCTCGAAGTGTGTTTTCTTTGGAAAGGCGCTTTCCCCTCGCTGTGTCACTCGATTGTTTTTTTGGTTTTCTCAGTTTTTTCTTCTTTCTTTTTTTTCTTCGGGGGCGGAAGGGGCCACTTAATTATTGCCTGAGAGTTGAGTTGCAAATACAAATCGGAATGCCAGGCTAGATTCCTAAGAGCATTCTACCAATTGCAACAAGCACAATTTCAAAGTGCATAAAACAAGCCCATTACTCAAACGCTGCCTTTCTGTTTTGCTTTGACTCCAGAAGGATGAGGAGAAAGGGGGATGTGCTTTGCATGCGCCAAGCTTCTCCAGGTGCCTTCAAACCCTCGAGCCAATCTAAGCTATCAGCTCTGTCACAGGCTGTCGTGGACACGAAGGGCCGCACACGACTCATGGGTGCAACTTAACCCCAAACCAGTGGGGTGGGAAAACTACGTATAGCCAAGATGCTCTTGTAGTAGTCTAAAGCCAAGCCCTCAGCCTGATAAGCAGCTTGAAGAACTCGCTGGGAAATGTACATGGAATCCTGTCACAGTTGGAAGCAACTGCAAACCCAGTGGAATCTTAGAATGGTAAACAGGACGAACATGGGGAAGTGACAAAGTTTGGCGTCTCGCAGTGCAAGCTTGGTTGTTCCTGCCTCGCCAGCGTAGCCCATGGACCCTAAGTCCACCGGGGAACTAGCAGGATAGTCTGTCTCGAACTGTCTGTAGGCTTTAGCATAGCTCCCAATCCAAGCATCCACCGCCACATGAACTTGAGTTTCGTTCACTTGGCACCTCATCATGTACGTGAAGTAATCAAATTCGATGCAGCCCGCCAAGGCATAGATAGGGGCAGTCGGATTAGCGCTTACGTGAACAGCGGCATGAAAACCAAGACCTTCTTGGACCATGAGGACCAACATCTCTGTCAACACATCAGACGATGGCATAGCTCCCTTCAAGAATCCAATCGGAATGCTTTTGCCAAGGTCATCGAGGATGTAGGAACGCGATTCCTCGGGCACTCCGTCCGACAAGCACATTTCACCAGCCACCCCGGTCAACACCGTGACAGCAGCAATCCATGGCCAATAATAAGCATGGGGCATAGGGCGCGAGGCGAGTTGGACAAATGGACAGTGCTGATGCTAAACGTCCTGGCAAACGGCTCATTCATTTCAGCAAGAGGGCGTTCCAAGCCGGGGCGCCAAGGTTGGCCAGGCAGAGTTTGGCAATTACTTTTCACACCTAGGCTGGTGGTTGGAAGAGATTACAAGTTTAAGACTTTCGGGTCCAACGAGGTCCCCCTGGTTCCCCCCAAACAAGTTATGACGATTTCAGGTTCAACCAAGATGCGCCGGAAGTAAGCACATTGATGCTAAACGTCTTGCCCCGAACAAGCAAGGAGCTCGGCAGCGGGTCCCCGGTGGATCTTGCCAGTCCCCCCAATGCATGGAGACCGTGAGTGCAGTGCTTGGCCCTACCGCAAACCCGCCCCTCCTTGTTGAAGAGTGTTGAAAAGGAAACCAGAAGTACAGACACCCTTTTTACTTGGCCGCCCCGGAGGGCGTCGAACAGAAACTCAGAAGAAATACGAAAACGTTGGGAAGGGTCCGATTCCTGCTGTCCCTTGTAAGTATCTTGTGAGCAGGGTAAAGCGTGCCGACACTTTCTCTGATTCTTGGGTGCCTCCTATATTTGGAAAATGTGACTGTGCCCCCAAGATCGTGAGCCTTCTTTTGTCTTCCGTTCAACAAAGGAGCAGCCCTGGCCCTCCAATGGTACCAAGGCCTTTAACAAATACGGTGGAGCGATACGACAAAACTCTGGCTGAAGGCGATATTTTGCGCCCCCGACATACTTCAAAAGAACACACGTCTGTTGCCTAGGTGTGATTCAAAGTGTTCCTCTTCCAACGGTCGAAAGTGTGGCCAAGGTAGCTCAACCATAAAGTGGCCAAAGGCTACACTTATCCAACTGGCTAAACTCGCCAATGCTCAAAACTGGAATTTGGCTGCCTGAAGTAGACAGCATTGCTTGCAATCTTCTTCAGCAAGACCTTGCCTGGCCCCCTGTTTTGTCAAGATATATTGCATGGAGGCGTTCAGCCGAGGAGGTAACATGACTTGCACACTCAACAATGTATGAAAGAGGAGCACGGGAACAGATCAGAAAAGACCGCGCGTAGCTCACCTCCAGCCCGGCACCCAACATTTCAACTCAAAGTTACCTCGCAGAATACTCTAGATTGTCCATGCCTTTCCACGCCTTTTTATGATCTTTCCACGGATTGTCCATGGTTGGTCCACGGTCAGGTTTCTTCGAGAGCAGGTTGAAGTTGGGGATCATGCGGATGTGTTGGTTTTCCCTGCGAAATCACCTGATTTTGGAGGCTTCAAATTTTACGGTCGAGGGACCCTACTTGCTTTCTCAGCCTTTATCATATGGTGTTCTCTAGACCGTATAACAAAAGATCGAGCGTGGCCAAGATTGCCTGGCTCTCCATTCTATTGGCCGAGAGACCCTACTTTTATAGTCTTTGTAATAAGATTGTCTAGACCGTAAAAAGTATGGTCGGGGAAGACCAGCGCCATGCTTAAAGAACGGCCATTTGTTCTGCCTTGAAATAGTCTCACCTACCTAATTCTGGACAAGGCAGAAAACACACAGGCAACAACTCAGATGCCTCGAATGAATTGTGGGTTGATGGGAATCTATCTGCACACATGACATGAAGTAATCCTCATCTGTCTAGGTACAAATTACTGTAAACCAACACCAACATTAGCAGTGTCTCAAGAGCGCCAAGAGTACGAGACCCCACAAATCCTGACAGAACCCAACTTGTCTATCTGACCCATGTTTTCTCTCTTACCTTATTGGTCCAACGAAATGCTTAAGGGTGGAACGCGGAAACAAACAAAGCACCCCACCCCCACTGCGCACATCCCACCCCCCTACCCCAACAAAAAACAACCTGATTTTACGCAGAGACCTGACCAAGACGCCACAGGTTTACTCGGACCAACCGTACAATCCAAAGGTATGCGTCAAAATATCCAGAGCCCCAAAATGGTCGTTAAACCGACCTTGAAAAGGGTACCCTCAAAGCGCCTAACTGGAAAAGCGAGGTTGACACTAGGGCCTCATCCTTGTTCAACAGCAGCGCTGCTGCAGCCTGAAAGCTGCTTAGGCAAATCCCCACCGGGCAAAACCCTGGGTTGTTCAAACCCTGGGATCCCGAATCTATAGTGGGACGCCACAACAACAAGGGAAACCCTTACCATCTGGCATAATCCCTTCTTCCCACTAATCAACCTACCCCTAATAACAAAACTCCCCTCAGCCGCGCCAAACATCGCATATACTATTTTTAGATTCGCCAATACTAAACCAATACTAAACTCCTGAGACCATAGGGCCCCCCTCCACAGGGGATTCACTTTCCAATACAAGTCCAATACTAAGCAGCAAACAATGAACTATATCTAAGGCAAAAGACCGGCGACCCCTAATAATACAACTCACAGTTGTATTGGGAAGGATTCTGGATTAAGGACTGATGTTTACTAAACTGGACAACAATTATCAGTGCCATTCAGGGACTGACAATAACTTACAATTAGCCTGAGCGCCTGGAGAAAAAAGGGCCGCTGTTCAGTGCCAACTGGGCCCTTGTCATTAAAAACCCGAATGCATGCCGAAGAGTTTTTGGAAAGGGGCACGAACCCGGTTAGGGCCAGCCCCTCATGAAACAAAAGCTACCGCGTTTGCTTAAGCATCCTCATCACTTCCTAAAGTGCCTTCGTGGACGGGGAACCAATCTGACAAACCCGACAGGCCGATGACGGTGACACAAACATAGAACATCCAACCAACAAGCCCTGGTGGATTGCATCACTCTGCCGTCCCGAGGCGTGCAAGTTGAACACAGACGTATGGGCATGCCAACCAAACCACAAAGCAACCCTACGCACAGAAATCCACTCATTCATGCTCAGAACGGACTTGAGGTGACACCCTGCTCCCAAACCTCTTCGGGATCCTCCAAAACTCCAAATCCCTCTCTGCAGCTCTGGTTCTGGCCCGTGAAGCCATGTGGAAACACGCAGCCATGCACCCACCCTCCACCTTGGAAACCAGCTCACGCAAACACAAGACTTCAAGGCAAACTAAAGCACGGTGTATACCTCAAAGCCAGCCAAAAGCGTCCCCTCTCTCTATTGAGGCTCCCAGCCCAGCAGGCTGAAATAGGCTGAAATTTGTCGCAAGAAACTGCGTGCCGGGAAAACCACAAAGTCACAAAGGAGAGACACCTCACCCATTTCCATGGCCGTGCTGCGAGCGTCCAAGTTCATGAGTTGGTTTGTTCTGGTCGAAAAGGACAACAGGGCCATACACCGAAGCTGATCCAGAATCTTGCGCCATGGCCATACCCAGAGCTACATACAGGTGTGGTTTTTTGTGAAGGTACCCTTATTGGGATTCCTTTCAACAAAAAGGAGAAACCAGCCTTTACGGGTTCCCTTTTTTGGACATCGATCAAACTGACCTTGTCCCCCCCCAATTCGCTCCTGCTGGTGCTCTTGCGAGGCATAGGCTCAGAGTAGAGACCCCAGCCATAGTTCTGCCATACTCCCAAGAGCGAAGTTTTCAATCTGGATATTTTCCTACAAGTATGTTCACCAACATGTAGATAAGGAATCCTCATGGGTGAGCATGGTGAGCTTGATCCACCAAGAAGCGGTGATTCTCTTGAGCAAGTTATGTTTCACGCTTGTCAAGTGCTCTAGCTGCCCAAGGGAACGCTGGGTGAGCTGGCTCGGACGATGCAACCTGCCAGCACAAGCACGCGCGCAGCAGAGGTCTCATGCGTGTGCCTTGATTCACCCCTGTGCTTCCAGTTCAAGGCGACAGCATGCGACAGCAACTCGATGCGCGGGCACTTAGCGACTGCCATCATCTTGCAATAAATAGCATGCCATTGAAACTGGTTCAGACACGCATGCCTTTCCCAGCATCACAAGTCCTCTTTCACATAATCATAGCAAGCCCAATGTGTGCATGTAGTGCAAATGACCGTGCTGTGCGTGAACAAGGACATTGAGGTCCTTACTGTTTGCGAGCAAGTGATACAATCAGTGGTTTCAGCTTTGTTGTCAAGAGTGACGCAACGTGCCAAGGCAAACAATGTTTGCACAGGCGTGAAAAGGTGGTTGACGCCTCGGTTGCCATGCAGCACGCGCTGCCAGCAAAGGCATATTTACCTCACATTACATGAGGCCTGTTAGAATCCCTGTAGCACAAGTACCCGCAACCACGATTAGGATCTAGGATTAGGGTTTGGGTTCATGGCTTCGATTTAATTCAGTTTTAGGGATTAGGGTTCAGGGTTTAGGTTTAAGGTTTAAGGTTTAGGTTCTGGCACGGCTGGGTGTCCGAGCCGCGGCACATGATGGGCATCGGCCGTACAAGTATATAGGCGTGTTGTTTTTCGTGGGTAACCTTGTTGGGCAGCTTTACAGGGAAACCAAAGGAAAACACTATTTGGGGGGGCCTGAAAAAAACACACTCGTACATGAAACATGCTCGCCTTCCTTTTCATGCAGCACGTTCGTGAAACTCAAAGCCGCGAGTTGCGGCCATGCGGGTGACACTCGGTTCAGACCTTGGCCGCTAGGCGCAAGCGGACCCAGTCCGAAAAAACAGGGAAGTGGGTGCTTCCAGGCTTCCAAACAACTTTGTTTATGGTGTTGGCAGGAAAACAAAACCAAAGCAATACCACCCATGACCCGTTTTAGAAGAAACACCCAATTTGGTCAACCCCCTGCTTCTTTGCTTCTTTGAAACATCTACCCACTGCAGTGCCACGCTCGTTGCCGGACACATGCCGCATCATCTCGTTTCAAGTTGCAGTTTGAGTGGCTGATGCTTTCTGCGTTGCTGTCCTCAACGCAGCTGTCTGTGGAGCGGCAACTGCCATCCCTTCGAAACCAGTACATCACAGACCTACACAGCCTAATCCTGAAACGGAGGGCATGCCGACAAAATGCGTGCCAAACCCGTCACAGCAATGTTCTGCACCTCCATTGCATTCATTTACCAAACCGTACTGTAAAACAAGAAACACTGCTGCGATTCAGTGCTGTTAGCTCTGAGGCACAGCTGCATGGAGGAGTGGATTCTGAGTCAAACGGTAACCCCTTCTTTGGGTGCTTAAAGCAAAAACACACAGCAAAGCAAAC